CAGCTGGTGAGGTAGGAGAAATGAAATTACTCATCCTCCTGGTTGTGGTGTGTTTTAGTATTGCTTTCGGTTTCACAATACCAGCAATGATTGAGGGGTTTTTCACGGATTTTTTGGTGAGTTTGACGGTTTGACAGGTTTTTTTCAGCTACGAACACTCCCCGGGTATAAGAGATGGCCCTGTGAAAATTGCATCCAGATCGCTTGGGCGGTTTGGCCGCCTATAGGAAAGATACATACATACGAACTCAAATAATGAAATATATATTAGATTAATATTATCTTGTCAGGCTTGTGGTAAAAGCATTAACATTTTCCAATTTGTTCGGTATTCTGTAAATGACCTGCGGAAAGTAAGTTTGCCATGACTACCTTACCTCTGGCCAAGAAGTACAGGGCAACAACTTGCAATGTTTTACTTCAGTCGACTTATATACAGTGGGTGTTTCTTTCCAAAGATGGCCGAGCAGTTACGAGGAAACTTAGATGGACTCCACAAATCGTTCCACGAATCATTGTTCTGAGTAGACGGAATCGATTTCTCTTCCCAGCGTTACTGTGTGAAGGAAAAGATAACAGAGACCAGTCTACCTTCTGGACGCAGCCACGAGATGCGTAGAACCCATCTATAACCGAAAATAAAACTAATATGATTCGCTACTGCCCGAGCCGGCGCTAGTATCGCATTGTTGATTTGTCTCAGGTTGGGTTCCAAACTCCACGAGAGATGGCGCTCTCGCTCTGGCTCAATTCTACTGAATTATCCGGGGCACTGCATGCAGTTTGGTTGGGTTCATGGTTCAATCAATGTTCATGGTCTGTCCGATGTTGGCGTGTTTCTCTGGCGGTCCACCACCTATCCTTGCTATTTGTTTTACGTGTTATATAACCGTTGTCTGAAAATCTATGTAACCTGTGAAACGATGTCGATTATACGTGTAAGAGCGCTCGTTATTGTACTAATAACTGCGAGCGGGGTTGCAAGAAGTCAAGTTTACCCACCGACGTCCGATGCCGATGGCGATAGCTATGTCAATGTTCAACGATACATTGATTATACTTATAGCACTATTGTCGATGGTCTGCCACTTGCTGAGAAAATGTTTGAGGCGTTTACCGTAAATGCACTGTCATATAACGTGTCTGCCCGTTGTTTGAATGACACGAAACAAGTTCTCGAAAGCTTCGTTGAACGCGAACAATGGGCGTTGAGCAGTAAGTAAAGTAGGCTAGACCACGCCCCCCCCCCCGTTTTCACGAAGCGTAATTAAGTCCTTAATCATGAGTAAATCAACACTTTCTTTTGTCTAGCCTCAACAACATCACTAAGGGGAAATAACATGAAATTATATAAACAACGGTCCAGACTCCAGCCTGCGGCAAAACTTTTTTAGCCAGAGAGTGGTGCAACCCTGGAATAAACTCCCACAAAGTGCAGTCGTAGCTGCCACTACTAACGTATTTAAGGCCAGAATCGCCCGATTCATGAAATCGCAAGATATATTATGGGTGCATATTAGGCTAGGCCTATAACAACCCATTATCCTTAACTAACTAACTAGTCATCATCAACCTTCCGTAATTAAATGACTGTTGTTAGTACTGGCAGTAGTTTTTGGGTAAATGCTGCATATCACTGCATCATCCATTTCTCTAGGTACAATAATGTAACCAGGGTTCGAATTTTGGCTGAAAATCTAGTGGACAGCAGGACCACCAACTTCAGAAAGTTGGTGGTCCTGCACAAAAGTTGGTCCGCTTATTTACTAGCAGTGAGTAACAAAATAGTATACAAAAATAACCATTGGCATATGTGTACATGTATTACATGATCATGTAAACATACATGTAACTTACAGTTGGTCAAACAATATATCTCAAGTTCTAGGAATGTCGGGGGAGCTTGTGGGAAAGGTTTTACTTTAGTTTTTCTCCTCCCCAGTCCACGGTACCCCATGCATAGATCAATGCTGCCGCACATCCGCAAAGTTACAAGTGCCTATAGAATCTTGATACAGTTTACATTGCTTCTAGATATCTTCAAAAATAAAACAGTATTCAAACATCAATCTCAGTGATTATTCACCGTTCACAGTGATTGATGCAGCGGGCAAACCTCCGGCAGGCATCCTGGAAGGAGCCTTAATGTGGCTTGGCTCATACGATGAGTGCATGGCTGTGAGGAGTGTTCCTTTTACGTTCAGTGGAAAGTACTGTACTGTGACACTACAGGCCAAAAATTCCTCTTCTGTAAGTGCATGATCTGTCAAGATGACACAGTGTTGTTTGCAATGATGAAAATGTTACACATGTTTGAATCGGAATTTGATTAAAAAAATTCTTATAGGTATATCACCCCCTGAGTAATGCATCTGCTAGTTATATACACAGCCTGGTAAAATACAGGGTGGGTATGTGTCTTAGCCCTTTATATGCTATTACATTTTTAAGGCATCATCTATTCAAAATCTATAAAACATCTGATGCTCTGATTAAGCATTTCCTCAGTCATTAGTTTTAACACAATTGATCAGCTTTCTTATTTTTTAATAGAGAACAAATTTGTTTTGTTAGTATTTCTTATCCAGAAAACAAGAATGAAAGTAGACTGAATCTCTCAATGTATCAAAAGGATGACACAGAGATTTAGACTGCTTATATTGTTTCGTAATTATTGCCGTTAAATGATTATTTCCAGTTTGTACGGACAAGTTTCTATTTCTAGATTTCAATACCAGCTGGATCAAGTTTGGTAGAAGGTCTATGTGTACCTAGCACATGCAGCCAAGAGGATGTTCTGCAACTTGTTTCTAGTGGTAAATGATCAATTTTCTTCACTTAGAAATATATAGAATTGAACTAACCCCAGCCTATTATTTATCGAACATGTTGATCCACTGATTTTAATAACTTTCTGTGTTACCTACATACACACAGAATTGTAGTAGAGTTCATGCAAATGGTAGTATGGGTTCTTTTTATTGGTTAAATTTCTCATGTAGAATTTCTCTCTTATTTGCTATAGGACTAATTAGTGTAGTGGCCCTAGGGGTGGCCACACTGGACTTTCACACGCGCTGTGGTTAGCACGTGTAATTTATTGGTGTTGGGGTCATTTTTTGCTCCTACCGCGAAGGTAGGACGGTGATGCAGTAGCAGGAAAACCCAGAGTGAAATGAATGCAAGTCCTTAGATAGTCTTTATACAACTGATGGTTTTATTCATCACATACGAATAACAGAAATAAGGTTCACTGCACGTATCTCAAATATAGCGTATAGATATATATATAATATATATTGCTCGTGTCACGTTTACGTTACCTCGTTAGGTGATTACACGTTTAACTTCTCTTAGCTATTCTATGGGTTAATATTGTAGCCATCTCTATGATCTCTCCCAGTCGTGTGCTCCGCGGCTCCGCGGCTCGGCGCGAGTTCGTGGGTTGGCAGTGTGTCTCCCCGTCGTGTGTAGGCTATAGTTCCGCGCCCCTCCCTTAGTATAGGATATACCTTTTTGGGCGTTGTCCTGATTGTGCGAGGCTCTCCCCCTGACGGTGTGTGTGCGCTCTGGCTCGAGCGTGATCGTTCGTTCGTTCGTTCGTTCGTTCGTTCGTTCGTTCATTTGTTTGTTTGTTTGTTTGTTTGTTCGTTCGTTCGTTTGTTTGTTCGTTCGTGGCCGTCCGAAGACTGACTCGTTAAATCGTGCGTTCGTGGCCGTCCGAAGACCGACTGATTTTACCATTGGATCTTGGCTGCTTATATAGGAGCTCGCAGTGACGTAGGATCCAGGCGGCGCCTCCCTGTCTCGTGTTTTGGGTGCCTGGCCGTTGTCACCCCCCTCGCTTAACTCGTGTATGGGTGATGCAACCCCCTTCGTCCAGTATACGCCCGAGCGTCAGACCCCCTTGTCTGCCACGTGCTCGGCTGGCGCCGCTCTCTCTTTGTCTGATTTTATCAGACCTATCATGCTTGTATACCTGTGCTTGTTCATGTGGTTCTACGCATGCATCATCATGATGTTGACCTTGCATGGCATTGTTTGTGCGGATAAGTCTGCACGTTGTTTTCTAATGTTTCAGCACTGGCACTGGTACCACAAATAGATGTTATTGCACATAATTGCTCTCAGCCGGCACCATTTGACTGGCGAACAGTCACAGCCATGTAATTTTAATTTTGTTTATCAGTTCTCTGTATTATATGTGAAATATTCTGAAACATGCAGCAAATAATGGAAGTATCATATGTAGGCCCCTACTAGCTTGTAGTTACAGTGTCCTCTAGATGCATAATAATAAATTATACCAACATCAGTAGAATGGAGATAATATTTTAGCTGTTGTCATCATGGTTGTGTTGTATGTATTTGCTGTTAATGTGCATTTCAGAGTCATCATAGCTGTATTCATTATGATGCTGCTGGCAGGAACTGGTTATGACATTGCCATACAAATGCAGAAGTCAGGGTACCATGCTGGTGCTAAGTAAGAGACTAATACCCCGTACAGACTATGAATATTAGCGCGCGCTAACTAGGAGCGTACAGACACAAAACTCTGAAGCGGGCTAAATGAGTCATCAGTTCTCCCACCGCTCAGTTCATTGCTCGCCACGTCACGCCGCAGACAGCGAGGTACAGCGAGCGAGCGTGCGTGCGAGCGAGCGTACGTGACCTAAATCAGGCTATGCGCATGCGCATTGCGAAACTTAGCGCGAGTTAGGCACCAATTGCGTACAGACACAGAGTTAGAGCGCGATAACTTGGTGCGCACCAAGATAGCCCTGCTTCATAAGCAGGGCCAACTTGGAGCGGGCCAGCGCGTATTTGGAGCGGGATAGCGTGTACACACTACAATTTTTAGCGCGCGTCTAATGCGGGCTAGTTTAGTACCATATCAAATTCGTAGTCTGTACGGGGTATAAGAGGCAATACATTTCGCAAAATGTATCAAGTGTAATGTGCTCCATAGCCAATTAATCCACTCTTTAATATGACCATTTACATTTGATTTAACAGTTAGTCTTAAGCAAAATAATGTTATGGTAGAAGAATGATATGGTAGAAGATTAATGTAGGCATAATAAACATTTTAGGATTGCTAAAACCGTCCAAGATGGCCACAATGAGTATAGCCCAATGACGACTGAAAACACACACGATCAGAACCAGAGCATACATAGGGAAGAAGGACAGCAGAGTAACCAATGTTCAGGTACTATTTTCTATCTAAAACATGTAAGTGTATGTAGGGCCTACAGTTGTTTAAGTAGCTGGATAGTTAGTGTTAA